CAAAGTATATGGTCATAGCTTAATTGCGAAATTGTTATGCCTCGCATAACACCCCAGGACCCAGGTCAATCTTACACGACCATGTACTTTGAACCCACCCACTATAAGGAAATTCAAAAAACCTATTCGCAATGCTTATCTTTCTCAGGTCCACAGCGAGGTTTCGTAATCGTCCATGAGCTGACACACCTTCAGCCTCGCACTCTTTGTATGACGCCACTTATGGTGGATTTTTGAGTAAACCTTTTGAAGAAGATGCAACCATATAACATGATTAAAGCTTTATTAGCAAAGGACATAAATCACTGTTTTCAAATAACATCATTATATGACAACAACATAAAACAATGAACTATGTCTTAAAGTAATCTCCACTTGCAGCGAAGCATTTCTTCCATCGAGCTACCAGATCATAGATACCAGAAACGAAAAACTGTACATTTTTAGTGTTTAAGAATATATCTACACATTGAGCTAGCTCAGCATCGTTATTGCAAACTCTACCGGCCATGAATTGTCGGAATTGTGGAACAAAATGATAATCTGTGGGAAGGAGATCAGAAGATTTTTCTGGGGAAGGTAAAACTTCATATCCAAGTTGGTGCAATGCTCGGATTGTACAGAGAGATAAGTAGGGTAATTGAGTATCATGCAGCATAAGCATTCCACGTTTTTCTATCACATCTCCTTTCATCCTGAGTAATTTCTTGTGCATTTCATTCAATTGATAAAAGTAGAGTTGCGCCGTCATTCTACCACCTGCTGGTACTAAGACATGATGAATTATACCATACGTCGTCCACCAAACGGCTATCATCAGACTTTCCTTCCTATCGCTAGTGTAGCCATTGCTCATCCACACTTCTCCATAGGTGACTATCCTGTCCAGAAAAGATGGATCTCTGCTTTGTCGAAGTATCAGATTCGAGCAAACTTCCAAACGCATTCTTCTTTGCTTTTCGGTCAATGCGGTTCTCTTCACATTCTTAAGGATACCGCTCATACGAAGATGGGAAAGGATAGTATCAACAGATGCTCCGAACTCTTGAGCAAGTTGCGGTATGGTTTTGTTCGGATCGGCATCAAGCAATGCTCTCATCAATTCATTCTGGGCTTGCGCCTGTGGTGCTGGGGGTGCTCCAGCGATTTGGGCATATTTCTTCCGAAACTCCTCAAACCATTCCTTCAATTGCCCTTCGGTAATCGACTTATCACCGAACGTCGATAAGATCTCTGCCATCGTCGTTTGAACACTGAGGCCTTGTAAGAAGTGGAATAACGCTACCGATCGGAGGCCAGTCGTTCTGAAATCGACTCTGTCAAGATCGTGCAAAGTAATCCCGGAATACTTCAATTTCAAACAATATCGCTAGTCACAGCTGGTCCCCTCAT